GAATGTACGACGAGGTTGAAAGAATTTGTTTATTATTCCAAGAGTTGTCGACGCGAGTTGTTGACTTTGAGAAATATTTACAACTGCCTGTGAGCTGTTGTTTGAAATGTTTAATTTTATTTTAGGATCGGATATTTATATCGGATATTTATTTTAGAATCAGATATTAATTATAATGAAAGACTCGTTCATTATTCCAAGAGTGATCAACGCGTTGTTGATATCGAGAAGTATTTACAACACCCTTCGAATATTTATTTTATTTTAGTCAGACATTTCGTGATTAAACATTTATTTTAGGATCAGATTATTTTATTTTAGTCAGACATTTCGTGATTAAACATTTATTTTAGGATCAGATATTAATTAAAATAATAACAATCAGCAACGAAAGAACTCATTCATTATTCCAAAAGTGATCAACGCGTTGTTGATCTCGTGAAGTATTTACAATACCATACGGTGTTGTTTCAAATATTTATTTTAGGAATCAGATATTCATAACGAAGTACAACGAGAAGTTGAATAACGAAAGAGCTCGTTTATCATTCCAAGAGCAATCAGAAAACATTCGACGACACGCGAATCACAGTTTACGTTCTCCCAACGTAACATTCACGCGAAGATGTTTTCGATTGCACTTACGAAACGCGTAAAAAACTTTCAAAAAGAAAAAGCTCCATTACGCTGTGTCGAGAACCGACGAGAAATACATTTTTGCCTGGCCGGAGAGCGGAGGCTGATATTTGTCTCTGGCACAGCGCGCTGGCTGTGAAAGAAAACGACGACCACGAAATGGTATTTCCACAATGCCAGAGGGCGCCGTGTGCTCATTCTCCTTAATAGCGAGGACAAGAATTTTTTTAATATGCCAGGGATGTTGCCGCGCGGCTCTTAACTTCTTCGCGTTAATAATATCGAGCTGCACGTTACTCGTGCGAACGAATTATGGTTTCGATGCAGCCTGGACTTGTAACTTGGACGAATAATTAATAAATTCATTTTTTACGTAACTTGTGGGACCCAAGTTTCGAGAGCTGATTGTACGCCTAAAAATAATGAAAAAAGTCATTATATGTTCTTCGTTTATGAGATATAATGAATTTTATAAACAGAGCAAACTCTAGTAAGCTAGGTTGGGATGGTATATTCAATTTTCATAATAATCATAATTGGGATGAGGAACATCCACGTGTTATTGTGTATTCAAGACATCAACACCAGTTTAGTTGAAACGTATGGGCAGGAATAATCGATAAATTTTTAATTGGACCTTTTTTCCTTGATGGGAAACTAACAGGCGCAAAGTACGTTGATTTTTCGAGCACGCGTTTACACGAAATATTAGAGGAAGTTCCAAGTTCGAACACAAAATGATACGACAATCCAATTGATTTCATTTTAAAGCGTGAAAGCCTGTACTATACCAATTTTGAGTTTTCCTTGAATTTATATTAGTGGCTTTAAAGTTTCCTCACGATTAGATATGTCATAACATCTTTAAATA